CAGATAAGCAATATACAATGCAAATTGCATAATACTATCTGTAATAAATGGGAACAATACTGAGAAGGTAGCAGAAAAGAAGACATTGTTATCAGTTAAACAATTCATCCTTTACACTTTTAAGGCAGGTATTAGGGACAAAATTAGAAATGCACTGTTTCGTAAGATTTTTACTGTCTTAATATTAAAAGGTGTCATGTATTTCAAGAGAAAACAAAAACATTGTACTCCTATACCTTTCTGTTTATCAGCTGCAGAAAATAAAAATGAAATATTTGAATAAGATTACTTCAGTCAAGTGGCATGTGAATCTGCTTTTCCACATTTTTAATTGCATGAATCCAAATTTGACAAAATTTAAACTATGGCCTCATGAAGCAAAAAATAAATACATTTTTGTATTATTAGTGAAAAAATACATTTTTATTTTCAACATATCCACTAATTTTTCTAGAAACATTTGTATTTGCATGTAACATTATTTTTAAGTTGAATCAATAGTGCAACATGAAAATTGAGTTCTAGATATTAACAAAACTTCACATAATTCTATGCAGAGTTTATATAGCAGGGTCAATCCAAAAGTAATGCCTCCTATTTTATTATGTTAGACAATAATGTCAGGTCAGTCAATGTTAGCAGTAGAGTTTGAACCTTTCCACCACCAACCTATATTTTTTGGTGACAGCAATCTAGCAAAATGACATCTTATATAAAAGTGCATATAAATCAGAATTATTACATGTTAATTCAGCCACCTAAAACACTAACACCACCACTCCCACTCATTAAGTTTTGCTCAAACATGTCAAAAAGCAGATTTATTGGGTACGAACAAAAGTTGACAGCATTTTCTTAGGTGGTGTTTGAATATATGATTTTGTGCCACATGTGATTGAAAATTATGACAAAGTACATATTCTGACAGGTAACATTTCAACATGTCTATCTATATAATTCAATTTGTATATGGATGGTGAATTTTAAATGATTTTATATTAAAAGTGAATATGGAGGGAAAAGAGGATCTTTTACTTACAGAAAGGAAAAATAAAAAAAGCACTTTACAAACAGCAAAAAGAAGATATGTGCCATTTATGGAGATATGGTGCCATAGCTGAGAGCACTGCTAGTAAATGGTTCGCTAGGTCCAAAAGTGGAGATTTTGATCTGGAAGACCGAGGATATTTCAGCAAGTCTGTGGTCATTGATGATGACCAAATGAAAAATAATCACAAGGAGATACTCCACATATTTCATACAAGTGTTGTAAGCTATTTGAAAACATTTAGATACATGAACCATTAGGACGTGTTTGGGTGCCTCATGATTTAAAGAAAAAAAAATTTACTGAACCATATAGCCATCTGCTATTTTCAGCTCAAACATAACAAAAGTGATCCATTTTTTAAAAGAACACTCATAAGTGATGAAAAATAGATTGTTTAAAACAATATAGAGAAGGGATCCAGAGGAAAATAAAATTATCTAGTCTACATCTGAAGAAGGTGATGTTGTGTATCTGGTGTGATTGAAAAGGCATTGTTTAATATGAGCTCCTGCCACAAAACTATTTGTTGAGTTCAGACAAGTATTGTTCCCTAAATGGACCAATGAAAGGCAGCAACTAATGAAAAGTATCTGGAATTGGCCAATTGGAAGGGTATCGGCTATGAACTTTTGTTCGAACCCAATGGGTGTCAAAAAAATAAAGAAAGAATAAAGCTAGCTGACCTTTGATTATCAAGATACGAAGTCACTTTTTTTTTGCATAACAAGACTGTTTTTAAATTGGTATAACTAAAAAAACTATTCAAGTAAGGAGAGATTGGAAATGCATGTTCGAGTAGAACAATTTGCAGCCATTAGACTAAAATGACAAAAAGCTGACCCTCCATAAAATACATATCTGAAGCAGCCCCTTGAAACCAGGTAACATGTATGGGTTTCTGATAGGGGGATAATGCGGAAGGTATAAATCAGCAGATGAATTATGCTGAGTAAGGATAAATGTTATATTTATTATACATTCACATTTAATGCCGAAATCATTGTGAACTGGTATTATAGAGGAAAATCAAAATGATGGGCAAAAACTTGCATATTGAACAAAAACTCAGCAACCATACTCTCAATCAAAAGTAATCCCCCTGTGGCCTCAAAAAAAAATTTAAAAATAAATAAATAAAAATATATATATATATATATATATATATATATATATAAAAAAGACTGTTTTCAAAATGTTTCTTATAAACCAATTAAAGTATTTTGTTTTATATTACAAATGTTTGTATTAAATGTACAAATTTTTAAATTTTTTTCAGAGAGGGCATTTTTTTTTTATATTAAAAAGGTCAACTTTTCAATTAATTTTTTTTCGCAGTAGATATAATGAGCAAAGAAGAATGCAAAGGGCTAATCAACACTTTTAAAATGAGACTAAAACCAATCCTTTACTTTTAATAGTATTTTTTATTACACCAATTTAAAAACAGTCATGATGGCATCAGCTCTCAACTTGGTACCTATGCTGATGACACAACCATTTACTCCTGTCTTGATAGTAAGTCTGATCAGATTGATAAGGTCAAATTGGTGGCTGATCTCAAAATGACCTAGTCTGTTATTAACTGGGGCAAAGGGTGGCTTGTTAATTTTAAAGCCTCCAAAACAAAACTGCTCTCTATTAATCATCTGAGAAACCCCTTTCTGCCTTCCATCAGTATGGCTGATGCTAAGCTCCAGGAGAGTTACTTGTTGCAGCTTCTCTAGCTAACATTCTCAGCTGACAGGAAATGGTAGGCTATATTGAATCCATTGCTAGGTCTGCTGCTAAGGAAGTTGGTTCACCATGTCATCCTAGATAGTTTTCTCTCCAATAAGTCTATAATTCATCCATGCCTTGAATATTGCTACCACATATTTAAAGATTCTTGATAAAAACCAAAGACAAATCAGCAATATTTGTCCTGACCTGATGTCTCTGCTTCAGTCACTTTCCTATCCCCGTACAGTTGCTATACTCTGTGCCTTTTCTATAAATACTCTCATGGTAATTGTACAGATGAACTCTCTGCTAGGGTACATAAACTTTATGAAATTAAACACAGTACTAGATTAGCAACAACATCCTGTTGGTTTATTGTTGAATTGGCTATATGTAACCATAAGTTCTATGCTAACAGCTTTTTTTTCTTGCATTTCTTGCTTATGAAATTCTCTTCTAGCTTCTTGCTTTCCAGCCAACTTTGAGCTTCAAAAATTTAAATGCAATATCAACCATTATCTACTGTCTTACTGATTACTCTTCTATTGTTCACGCTTCTCAATAATGCTTCTATTTTCTAATTCTCTCACACCCCCAGTAACCCCTTGTGTCTTAGGTGGCTTTACTGCTTTGCATGGGGTGAATTCGATAAAAAAAAAAAGAAAAGGTGAAAAGGTTATAACTGTGATATTGTACTTCAATAATCAAAAGTCAGCCAGCTGGAATATTCTGGAAATTTCAGTTTGGCATGTATATATGCTGCTAATGCAACAAACTTGAACAAAAATTAATATAGTTAATGCAAAACATACCCTTTTTTGAAGGAGTTGACACAGAATAATTCTTCATTGAATTTGTCTATGTAGAAAAAAATTGCATTCACTGACATTTGCTGAATGTTTACAGAGACCAAACAGTGAATGTGAGCATAGTTAGTCAGTGGGTAATGCATATCAACAGTGGAGGCAGTGGTGTGTATAATAAGTTACAGGTGGCTCTGCACAACAGTCAATTCACAAAATGAAAAGCCCCTCAGAAATTTATAATCAATGGGTGTGACAGCACTTGCTCTATCCTAGTGTTACTGTATGCCTTATGTCTGTTGCAGATTCCATGGAAATAAAGTGGAAGAAGCATTACTTTCAGAACATCACTTGTAATTTATTCATTATAAAAGAGTAACAGCCTAATTTTAAGCTGATTTTTCATGTCCCTACCACCAACATTAGATAGACAGTCTAATGAAGCAATTTTATCCCATAAGGTTAAAGAATCTATATAAAACGAAAACAGAAACTTATGAAAACATTTCACTTGTTTCATTTTCTTTCCATTATTAATCTTTAATAAACCTGAAGTTAATTTTAGATAACAGAAGACATTTATACAGTGATTCTGTGAAATAAAAAGGTATAAATCAAAATGTTAGGAAAATACATTTGTATTCAATTTTAAGTACAAAAGTAGAAAATTCAATGCTTTACTAAATAAGTATCTACCATGGCTGTTTTATCAGACTACAACTAATATTTTAAGAGAAAGAAAATTTCTCTAGATATCTGATATAATCGGTTTAATGTTAGAATTACTTCTATATAAGTTTTGCTTATATTTGGCTACAAAAATATAGTAAATTATTTTCTGAGCAATAAAATTTTTTTTTTAATTTTACAAAAAAAAAGTGGGTGGTATTGAAGATATTTGCAAGAAATTGGAATAAGGTGCAGAGATCAACTTAAAGAGTTAAAAAAATGTTCAAGTAGGAAAAGCATGAGAGTTAGAGATTTTATGTCAAATTACAGATCAACTTTACAAAAACACTAATCAATTTGCATCACTCCACATGTGGACGTCAATATTCATTTCCAACCCAATCCACACCTGACCAAATTGCTTACACTGATATTAAAATAAATCTACTTTTCATTTTATTTCTGTGAAGTGAAAAACTCAACCTAAGCCAATTATCAATTTCCTTGATAACAAAGGGGAATATTATCTCATCTAAAATCCTTTTTCTGTTGATGCATATGAAAATGAGGGATTAGAAATGAGAGTCTCTACATGATGAAGTTGTCTTTAAAAGGTTTCAAAGGGATCACTTTTATGAAAGAAAGTGAAGAGCTAACAGAAAGAGAAATACAAACACATTAAACATATACTGAGTGCTTTAAAGAGTGAGATACCAATTACACTTGTGTCAGTTCTGTTAAACTGATGAATGCCTTACCATCAGAATCATCCTTGGGGGTTGACACAGGCTGGATGTCTATTGGATTAGACATACTGCTAGGGCTACACGGTTCAGCTAGTGATTGGGATCGGCGTCGTTCAACAACAAATTCTCCCTGAATAAAGTGATACAATAACAAAATAAAACAAAAAAATAATACTGACAATTAATGCTGAATCCTATTCTAATAATTATATTGACTTCTAAGAATAAAATCAAATCTAATATTGTAATTAATTTTCATAACTGAAATTTGAAATCGTTAAGTCATGAGCATCTTATGCTCTATAAAGCAGCTTTTATAACAAAGAAAGCAATAAGGAAATTAAAAACAAGATAATTTCTTATTGAAGTGGATGAAATATTTGCAAAGTTTTTTCGAAAGTAAAAAACAAAATATATTAGAATGCTTCAGTAAAGCACAAACAATGACAATATTTTATAAACTTGTTTTTACTTGTTAGATTTCAATTTAGAAAAAGAATAAAAATGTTTTCTCATCATGAAAAACTAATATTGGAACTCATGAAGTCAGAAGAACAGAAACCAGATAATGTTTAAAGGACATAAGTTAAAAAATAAAAATATCAAATACTAAATTAAATATTACTAGGTTATGAAAAAATATTAAAGATGGACAATTTTTAGATTGTAAAATAAGTACAAGTATTTCTGTGGAATCTTTTTGATTCTTAGTCACAATATTCAATGCAATTTTATTTTAAAAGTTTCCAAATTTTGAGTCATCTGCATATGAAATGCTACATAAAAATATGTGATACACCTAAATCAAATACAATGTAGAAATCAGAATAAAAACACATTTAACTTTTGTTGTGTTAAAAACAAAATTATCAAGATATTTTACAATAATACAAACCATTTTAATTGCCAAAGATATTAATGTTATGTATACTACATGCAAGAAGTGTAAATCTTTCAGATTAGTCATATCAAAATTGAAGTAGCGTGTATCTATTCTACATTAGTAAACTAACAAATGTGGTAGGAAGAAAAAGCAGTAAACTTTCCTAATAGAGAACCTACCTGTTGAAAGTTTATAGGTGGGATAGCTACAACTTTGGATACAGGTTGCTCAACATCTCCCCAGTCCCACTCAGGAATGTTAGGATCTGGAGATTTAGGCCCAGGAATAATTTTCACACACTGGAAGGAAAAATTACTAAAGTAGAATCATAACTACTTGTGCTAAAAGGGAGCAATTAGAAAATAAGCAAATTAAAATTATAGCAGCAGAAAGAGGTTAGTGGTGAAAATGTTTAGCATGCAATGTTACAAGACACTTAAATTCTAAACAATAATTTTATTAAGAATAAAATAAGTTCCATAAAAATATGATGAAAAGAAGTTTTCTTTTTATCTTGATTGAGTCTATATTTTCAGAATTTTAGAAAAATATTCTTTTTAACATTTTTTTTAGCACTACTGAAATATTTCTATATAAAACATTCGTAGAAGCTGAGCCTTTTATATTAGAGCAATAAATATTGAGTAATGTAAAAAGTTAAATGAAGTAAAAATAAAAGACATTATTTGCTATTTTACCATCTTTATAATTCCTTCCCCCTAGAACATATCTTTCTCACAAAAGAAATACACGAAGGGCCTTTTGCTGTTTTTTCCAGGAATTGAAACAACATGCACATTAAGAAAATTCCCTAAGGACCAGAAACAATAATCTGAAAGTACAATATTTGGTGAATGCAGCAGGTGAGTGAAAACTTGTCAGTCAAACACTTCTTTGCCTGGCCACCAGAGAAAAACATCTCATCTACAGCCTGTCTGAAGTTATTATGCAAGTCAAATAAACCTCAATAGCACAAAAGGTTCTGAACTAATATTTGTCAAATTTAATCTTGCTCATTCCAACCCTTAGTAAAATATTTAATTAAATTTTCTGCCATTTTTAATGGTTAGTTTTTGAGATTAGGAATTTATGAAAAATGGACTGACAAGTTATTATGCAGATTAAACTAATATTAGCTTAAGACCTTCTGAAAACTAATAAAAAACTATTTCTTTTTGTCCATAATATATGTTGAAACATGGGTAAAGGGAAGGATCTATCAGCTTCTGAAAAACAGAAAATAACAAGTTATTGAGTGAGGGAATGTTCACATTGGAGACATCAAAGGAGCTTTGGAGAGATCATCAAATGATAAAGAGGGCTGTTGAAAATACAATTTGAGAACCCAAAGCAAAGGAAAAGGCTTTAACAAATTGCTTCCTCAAGATGAATGTGAACTAAAGCAAGTTATAGTGAAACCACTGTTGACCAGCACTCAGATTTTTGAAAAGGCTGGAATTGAGGGAGTCAAGGACAAAAGGTGTACAATACTTTGTGAATTGGCATCTGTAAAAAAATCTCCTAGGCAACCTCCTCTCACTAAAACAAATGTTTTAAAGCGTTAAAATTGAGCCAAGAAATACATGAAAATTGACTTTTCTAAAGTAATTTTCACGGATGAATCTTGAGTGACATTTGATGGTCTTGATGGATAGACCAAAGGATGAGTTTTATCTAATTTCGACATGCCTGTGGCTAAAAGAATGCAACAAAGAGGCAGTAGTGTTATGATATGGGATGGAATTGTTGACCAAACCATTATTAGACCATTCAAAGTTGATGAAGCAGTTAAACTGAACAGTGCTAACTATTGTAATTTTATGAACAAGACTTTCTTTGTATGATACAAGTCCCAATCTCATAGTTTCAAAGTGAAATGTGTATTTATACATGACAATGCTCCTTCTCATGTATTTAAGCTTACCCATGAATTATATGAGCATAAAAGATTTACAGGAGAGAAGATAAGGGAATGGCCGACATCAAGTCCTGATCTGAATCCAATTGAAAATCTATGGTAAATTGTGAAGATAAAATTATATGAAGGTGACAAACAATATAACAGCAAAGCAGACCTTTGGGAAGCAATTAAAACTACCATGTCAGAAATTGAAGCTGCTGAAGTAAAAAAAATTAAGAAAATCAATGGATAATAGATTACTTGCTGTTATTGAGAAGAAGGGTCACTATATTAAAATGTAAAATATTCCAAGACTTATCATGTGTTTTTTATTTGTTCTATTATAGGTGTTGATCAATTTTTGATGATTTTATTACCTTTTTATTGAAGTAAAATGTGATTATTTGGTTTTGCCTAATAACTTCAGACAGAAGTTTTTAGAATACATCAAATAACTTCAATAAAACATATTGATACTGCCTAAAATTTTAACTTTGGCTTTGTTTTGACATCTAAATTGATTGCTTAAAATTTGACAATTTTTTTCAAATCAAATTTATATGATTTGCTTAATAACTTCAGAGTGGGTGTAGCATTATCCTGATGAAATCTTATGCCTTTATCTTTTAACTAATCCTAAATGCTTTTCACTGATTGGTACTTTCAATTGTTCTAAATTGTACTATATCATAAATATTTTAATAGGAGCAGATAGCTTCACCTACCATCTGGTTAACACTATTCCCCGTTTTTTTGAACAGGACTAGAGATTTGTCATGTGTTTCCTGTTTAGGACTGGTTTTCAGATTCCCTCTAAAGTTTTCTTATTCTCTTTCACTACCAGTAGCTCCTTATGTTTTAGTAGCATTATTGCCTTGCTTGGGATGAATTGATTAATAAAAATATACAGAAAATACATGTTTTTAATTACAATATCAATTATGAGATTACATAATAAATAAAGATTATTTATTCTTACTTTCTAACAATTCCAAACTTGTTTATACACACTAAAGGGATTTTTCCTTTTATATTGAAATGAATTATGCTGTGAAATAAAGAGTTTTAGCATTTCAGTTCTCTGCCTTGGCTATGGTTGCCAACTCTGTCAAGTCATAATAAAGGACAAAGGAAAAATATACAAATAATCATTTTTTTTATTTAATTCCTGTAAATACACAATATAAATGAAAATGGTATTGTTGAAATTGGAAGATGAAAATAAAAAACAAAGACAGAAAGAGCTAAACAAACGAACTGCCCATTCAAATAAAGGACGATTAGCAACCTTAGCTATGGCTGAAATACTGACAGGAGCTAACAAGTTTGCTTTGATATATAAATTTTTATTTAAAGAGTCCAGCAAGAGGCTAAATTACAGATTAACTTCGAGTCTACCAAAATTCACAAAGGTAATTTTTTTACCTGCATTACCATGATTAATCTTTTTAACGGTATTTGTCATGACTTTACAATAAAGAAAGCAAAAGATTTAACTTGGAATTCAATCATAAACTAATCCTTTTCATTAAACAATAGGTACCCCATCATATCACAAGCAGCAACAAATCAATATTTCTAGCTTTTATTTTAATACAAAAATTATAGATAAACTAATGCAGGTTTACTCTGCTATATGAAAGCTAGTCCTGGTTATGACACTAAACTAGATCTGTTAGTAAAGCATCTGATCAGGAGATTGGAGGTTTTAAAGAGTGTGAAACCACCTCTTAATTGCTGTTGTTCCCAGGTTCACTTTAACCTGTGATGGTAGTACATGTCAGGGTCCCAGCTATGGGCAAATAGTGAACCCCAAAACATAACAGTGTGAAAGTATTAAAATTTTATTATAAAAATACCAGCAACATATTTTTATATAAAAATTGGCAACAATACAATTCATCTGTAGTTGAAGGTATACAATTATGGTCAAATTATATTTAGTTCAAGCCATAAAATTGTGTTCAAAATATCTAGATTTTGACATTAAATAATACCATAGAGCTTGATATGCAGCTAAACAAAAACAACCAAAATGCAAGTACTCTTTCATGACATTAATCCATATACTATCTTACAGTTTCTTAAGAAATCAAACAGTATTCCAAAATGTAACTTCAACAAAACTATAACATACAACTCACACATCACTGCCACTAGTAATTATGTCCACACAAACATGTCTCTCCACAAAAGCTGAGTATCATCTACCATGTATTCAATTGTGAATGCAGAATAACATAACATATATTTTTATTAATTCAAAGCTCCCAAGAAAATTAATTTTTGGCATTAAATGACCCATAAGGTGTTGATATGTAAAGAAACAAATTAAATAAAAAAAAATTTAAAAGCAGAAAATTTCTATGAAACATTTTGTAAAATGAAATGACATTAAGCGAAGTAGCCATTTTCAACCAAAGCAAGGCAATAAAGTAACTAAGACACAAGGGGTTACTAAGTGTGAAACAATGAGAAATTAGAAAACATTATTTAGGAGTGAGAAAAATAAAAGAGGAATCAAGAAGACAGTAGATAACAACTGATATTGGATTTAAATTTTTAAAGTTGGATGGAGAGCAAAAAGTCAGAGTTTCACAAACAAGAAATGTGAGAGAAGAAACTGTTAGCAAAGAACTTATGGTTACATTTAGCCATTTCACCTATAAAACAATGAGACCTTGTTAACAATCGATGAGAATGCTTAAATTCATAAAGTCTAGGTACCATAGAGGAAAGTTTATCAGAACAATTACCATGAAAATATTTATAGAACATGCCCAGAGAAGCTACATTATGGCAATGGGAAAGTAACAAACTGGGATGCCAGGTCAGGACCAATAATATTGCTGATTCCTCTTTGGATTTTATCAGGACACCAGACCAGATATGGCAGTGATATTCAAAGTATGGACAAATGGTAGACTTATAGGTATGTGAGATAGATTCTGGAGAGAAAAATTGTCTAGCATGTCACAGTGAACAAACTTTCCTAGCTGCAACACTTGCAACTGATTCAATATAATCTTTCCACTTCATGTCAGCAGAAAACATTACGCCAGGAAGGTGCAATAAGTCAGTCTTCTGGAAATTAGCATCAGCCAAGCTGATTGAAAGCAGAAAGAGGTCTCTCAGATGATTAATAGAAAGCTCTTTTATTTTGGAGGCATTAAATTTAACAAGGCATTCCTTGTCCCAGTTAACAGCAGATTTTAGTTCACTTTTGAGATCAGCTACCAATTTAACCTTATACAACCAATCAGAGTTATTAAGACAAGAGTAAATTTTATAAAAAAAAATATCTCATATCTGAAAAATAATCATTTGTGTAATTTTTGCTATGATTTCCAATGCTGATTGCAAAAATTACATTAATTTTGAAAGGGTATATTAGTTTAGAATATGTTTGCTTTTAGCCCTAACAAACAATGATATGATAGAAAAAGTAAGTATGAGGCTAAGTAGTCAAGCATACAGTCATATTGCAAGCCTTCCAGAGTAGACAATGCCTCTTAACCTTAGAGAGTGAGACCAGACAGAAATAGAAGATTATGTTTGGGATCTGGGAACACTTGGAAAATTTTCTCAAAATAAACTCATATTGATTGCTTCTTTCTTTGGTTCATGTAAGGAAACATGTATTCATGTTGGCCTTCCATAAAAGCAAATGATAAAAGGTGAACTTTTCACAAGACATACCAGCCAAACAGATTTATTATTTATTGATAAATAAGTCTGCTTCTAAATAAGTCTGCAAAGAGATATTATGATGGTAAAGCTTCCTTAGATTAGAAAATTTCAATGAATTATTGTGTGGCTAAGGTGTGACACTATGCATGGGACATTCACATAGGAATGGAAGATGCTTCTCAAGTTTTATTAACCAGCAGATAGGGTCTTTAAAGTCTTCTAAATGGCATCCACTTTGACAGAAGGGGAATGGAAGAGTAAATAGGAGCTTTTGAGATCAAGTGACAACAAAATCAAACATAAAGCATATCTGATTTCTGGCCTATATTAACAGTCATGGTTGGGATTGAGGAAGCCAGTTCTTGTCCATCCTTGGTAGAGGATTGTCCTTCATGGAGTTGGCAGTGGGGAAGAGTTGATCTATGAAACTGACACAACAAAAGTCATCCTAAGTGTCACCTTCATAACCACCCAGACTGAGCAAGACCCTGAATAAAAAACACCTATTTTATAATATTGGAAACAGGTTTCTAAAAATGGCATCTGTTTTTATTTTTCGTTAACTTGTGAACGTGCAATGGGCCTTTCCCAGTTTTTTGTGAACACCAATATGAATGCAAGTTGGAGACAAATCATGAGGTTGTCAATGGCCAGTCGGTTGAAAGCTAGGTGATATTGCATGTTTACAAAGGATTTCGCCACTAGTATTAGGGGTCAGGGTGTGGGGCTGAGGTAAAAGCCAGGATTTTGAAGGCTCATTTTCAAGGTAGACAAACCCTCCCTCCACTTGAAAGATGGGCGAAACACAATATTTCTACTCTCTCCCATTTTTTTTTTTTAGATAATTACAAATGATGCTTGGTTATAAAAATAAATGCTTTTTCATCTGAATAAGACTATTACTGAAACATCAGGATTTAAAACCTCATTAACCTGTTAATGCCTACCATAAATATAGTATTAATTATAAAAATTAAAACAAAAATCCAATATTAATTATACATTTATAAAAACAAGTCTAGTATTAATTATCTGCAGTTGGTATCATAGTCATTGACTCCATGATCCTTTCATTAGCTGCATAGTATGTGTTTTACTGGGGTTACATACAATTTTTGAATTCAGAGTTGCTGTTCTCCTAGACTGGTTGCCACCCAAGGCTGAAGAGCCGAATTTGATCTACTATTTACCCATAGTTGAAGGTTTTGAATTGAAAGTTGTCCTTCTAGACCAGTATTAATTATAGGTTTATAAAAATATTCAGTATTCATTATAGGTTTCTATATTAATGCCCATCATTCCAAAAATAGTTTAAAAGGCATGTAAGAGTACAAAGAAGTTTACTGGATTAGAACTGGAATCATGATGTTGATTTTTCATTTTATTTCATTGTTAAAGGTCACTGTGAAATTCTGTTAAGGATTTCATTTGTAATTATAATCAGTACTAAAATTGCAAGAGAGTGCAAACTGATGATAAACCTCAAAAATGTATAAGGATTGGCAGTGCTAAGTTTACTAAAGGTTTTTGTAATAAAAATAAAATATACAATAACTATGAAAGTGATAAATTTGCTGCCTTTCAATATTGTTAAATCTACAATAACGAGAAATCGTGAATGTAAAATGTTAATTTATTTTGAAAAAAGAAATGATTATTTTAGTCTCTTTAACTCAGGGTGAATATTTAAAAAGAAATTTATAAATTTAACAATTTAGTGTTATCAAATTATGTCTTTTTGTAACATTTGTTAACCTTGTGCATTACTACTGGGTTGTTGCAGATTCAGTTAAGCATGGGTTTGTGTCTATTAATAAATATAAAATAGTAATTGTTAAATAAGTATTAAGAAATATAAAATTTTGTTAAGTGATTCTTCATTTGAGCTAAAATGAAACTATATTTGATTAGTTGTGAAGTGAACAATGGAATAAGACTTGTAATTTAGTAATTAAAATTTAGAGTAAGAGAAATAAATTTAGTATAAAAATAGCATTATAAAAACATCTATATATCTATAATTAATGTTTTGCCCAAGTTAAGCATAACAAGCTTCAGAATCTTAGAAAGTAGTTACAAGTATCAGTAAATATTAAGTATTTACCTTCTTAGGCTTAAGATTGCTTTCTCCATCCTCTTCTGAAACGGTCTCTAAATCGGGAACTTCTGGTACTTCTTTGAGTTCTTCAGTAGCTACTGGAATTGGTCGCAGCGAGTGACTTTTCAAATTGACCATGCTACCACCAGCTATTCTCCTCGATCCGTCTTCATTTTGAAACAACAGCTGGAGCTGAGAAGAAATAAAAAATGAAAAATTAGAAATCTAAGAGCAAAATCAATATTTGTAATTTATATGTGATACAAAGTTCAGTAAGATGAAGAAAGAGGGAATAATAACCTGGTCTGCTTTGGTCAGTGTTCTGTATCCATGACCTTGGGGAAGACTTCGTTTTGTATCACAGCAAGTATAGGCACCTGGACTGAAATGTAATTCAATGTGATATCTCTCAGGAGACATAGGATCCTAAAAAGGAAAAACAAACAAATCGTCACACTTCATTAACAATAACAAAAGTGATGAATTTTAATTCCAAATTTAATTAAAAAATGTTGAATTTTATAAGGAATTACTCTTGCAGTTTTAAAGCAGCTGCAAAGAAAGATACTACAAAATGAGAATATTTTGTAATTTTCTTAGAATAAACAAAATTTTCTTTAGCTTTCCTTTCTTATGTTTATACTTAACTGCATTTAACCAAAATTATAGAAGAGAAAAAGAAAAAAAATAGTTCTCATATAAGAGATTACTTGGTAATTAATACTACTAGCTATTCATACTAAATGGATATCTTGACTACTACAACAGTAAAAACCAATTTTGATTTGTTACAAGACTTGCTTTAGCTATATTTTACATGAGAGGTTCAGTGAACATATTGAATAAGCAGACGAAAAGTGAACTAAAATAAAGAAAACGATTTCAAGTAATTTATTGTGGCATTTATTTTCTTGTTAATGCAAGGAACAAAAGCTAAACAAATGGTCAACCTGAGAAGTTCACACACTCAGATTATGAACAGTACTCGAGATAAAAATCAGTCTTGGCTATTTGTTTCTCTTTTCACTTCTCTCTCAGAGGTGAATGTGAGTTAATCAGACAAGCAACAAAAGACTGTCTAGAATCTAAACTAAAATTTTTGCATTCATTCTTAGTTAACAGCCAACATTTTATTAGCAATATGTGTCTATAGTTCATCATTTGTAAATTGAAAAGAAAGCCTACTTTACATTTTTCTGAAAACTCAAGAGTTAAGAGTAGAGATGAAATGAGAATAAAATAAAGGAATAAACGGATTCAGATTAGATATGGAACATGTATTCTTAGTTGTACAGATTAAAGTCTAACAACTAAACAACAAACCTTGTTAGGATCTTCAAACATCATGATTACAATTTGAGTCATGTAGTTGAGTTCACCAGTGGCACTAATGTACTCCATTGCTCGGTGCCATTGTTCATCTTTATTTTCCTAAACAAATAAAAAACAAACTTAAAACCTATACTATCATCAAAAATTTAAATGTAATATTAACCATTATCTTCTGTCTTCTTAATTCTTGTACTTTTATTGTTCTCTCTCTTTAATAATATTTTTCTTTTTCTCATATTCTTTCACACACACACACACAGTAACCCCTTGCCTTTTAGCGATTTTATTGTCTTGCTTGGGGTGAAATGATTAAAAAAAGAAAGAAAAAAATGAATTAAAAGACATTAAATGAAAGTTAGACAAAAATATTTTCAATCTAAAAGTTTCTTAAAATGACTACAAAAAGAAAAAAAAAAGGTAAGAATCGAAGTAAAAACTTATAAGTTTACTTACATCACAGAGTCCACCATATCGTATCATTGATAACAATGAATGTATATGACTTTCACTTGTAAAATACAGGCGTGTCCGTACAAATCTCTGTGGTGATGAGACACCTTTGGAATATCTGAAAGGAAAGGAAAAAAATTAAGAAAAGAACAGTAAATTTATGAAATAATTTATTTGATTATGAATTTTCAATCAATGGGCATATTTCTCAAATACCTCAACTGGAAATTGACTGCACTCTTAACATCATTAAATTAGACCTTTTCACACTGAGTGAGCTTTAAATATAATCCTTTAGGCAACAAAGAGGAACAAAAGAAAAGTACTAAGAGCTTAATTTCTTTGAAGAACAGTTTCTTTACTGAGTGTTTTTAAACAAAAATAGAAAAAATAATAAAAAACGACATATCAACGAAGTTTTTCTTCAATCCTTTTTAAAAATCAAGCAACTTGTTCAAATATGATTAATTTCTTTGAAAAAAAGATTCGTTTTTAAGTTTAATTAAAATATATTTTATTGCATATGTATAATTTCAATTGGAAAAATATTCAAATTTTTACATTTCCAACATGCTAGTCAGGAAGTAGAATGTTTAAAAAAATATATGACCAACCTTGAATCTAAACGTGTAGTTTCTTCTTGTCCTAAGGTAAGACATTGTTGAAGGTCACTTCGGATTTTCCTCAGCAGTGGAGTACATAAGCTCTGGCCAATTTGGAGTTTTTCCTCCATTGTTATTCCATATTCCTATGAATAAAAAGAATTAATGTTATGTCAAAGAATCACATAATTATCCTGTTGAACAAGGTCCAATATGAGGATACAATGTCATTAGCCACTTCTATCAAAAAACATTCTGCTCACCGTATGTTTGCTTAGATATCTACTCAATTTTAAAGTGCTATCTACAAATAGAAACATGTTATTATTTTATAAAATATCTTAAAAATTCTTTTTCTTCTATGTGCTGTGTCCTTGAGAATATGTTGATCATGGCTCTCCACAACTTCCTATACATCGTGGCCCTTAGCAGTGTTTCTGCCCATAGCAGTGTTTCTACCCTTGCCAAGTCTCACCCCTGTTCCACTATTTATCCACACAAGCTTGTCAGATAGGTGCATAGCTGCCTTCCCTTGTCTTTCTTGACTTTGATATGCCCTGTGAGAGTAAAGTTTTCTAAGCACCCACCCCAACTCCTCATTATGTGCCTAAGAAATTTGTTTTCTCTTTCTGATTCTGACTATTTTTCTTTTGTAAAATCAAAATATATTTTTTATTCTTTTACAATTAAAAAAATCATTTTTCAATGGCAGAACTTTCACATATAGACTTAACACAAAAACAAAGAAAAACAAAAATTATTTTGAAACTTACAACATATTCAACCTCAAAAAGAGATTAGTATTTTAAATAATTTATCTGATTTAAACATTGGATTGGAGGGTGAAGAATGTCTAACAGTTGGGAAATTTCTACATTTTTACCTGAGGCTAATTGCAAATAACTAAAATAGTTCAATCATTAAGTAAGATTTGTGTTTGGAAAGAAAAGTGAATTCAAACAAGTGACAAATCACTAATATACAGAATTAAAGTATGTTTGTGTTAATCTATTAACAACTGTCTCAAAAATGTAAACTTTACAAAAGGACAGAAAAAGATACATTGGAAAAAAATAAAATATATGATACATTTTGCAAAAAAAAGTTATACTGATGGAAACAAATATTCAAATTTCATTTTTAAAAATGTTAAATTTAAAAAAGAAATTCTGAGAAAATATATTAAATTTTTCATTTTTTTTTTTAGAAAAATAAATAACTTAGAAACACAAGCAAAAATATCTGTTTTAAAACAGAGAAAAACAATACATTGATTGCTAGAGACATTGTTGGAAAGACCTTAACAAGAGTTCAATATTAAATGTACACTTAACTATACAGTAAACTCTCTGGTTTAGTGATGTAATAAAATAAGGAAAAAATCTTGCCTGATTAAAAATTCTGGAACAAATGTAAAAATTTTGAAATATTTAAAATCATTTTAATTGGTCTACAAGAAGCTTTTATAGAACTGGTTACTTACAAATAGCAGATTTATAGTTATTTAATTGGATTACACAGATAATGAGATACGAGTAAATTTAATTTTGACATATTTTCTGATGAGATCTACAAATTAACGTTTTTAGAACAAAATATCACAGTTCTAAAACTATCCCAGCAATTGTTATTGACAGAAGAGCCTAAGTTAGTTTTTAAAAGGCAACGTTACATAGATAAAAGGAAAAAGAAAATGTATGCATACATATTCTTTAATAGAATCAGAAAATTTAAGAAAATTATACCTGAGGAATTACAATGTCAGCCAATGCTTTTGAGCAGTTGAAAAGTTCTTCAGCTCGTTCATACTGTAAGGTATGATGATTATGCTGCAGGTCATATTTAATGCAGTCATAAATGTCTGGAATCTTACTGACATCAAACAAGCCTTGTTTTGTTTTGAAGTCTTTCTCCAACTTGGCCCAGCGACGTATCAGTAGCTCCCATGATTCACCATGGTATAACTTCAGATCTAAGGGCAGAATTTGTTTTTTTTAAATAACAGAGAAATTAAATCAATGTCTTTAAAAAGAAAAAAATTCATACACTTATTAAATTCAGTTGACATAATGAATTTTTGACAGCTGACTGCTGCACATAACTAATGAGAAATGAAAATATAACAGAAGAGAAAAATTTAATTTCAGTTCAGTCAACTTGAAAAAAAAAAAAAAAGTCTTTCTGGCATATTCTCAAAATATGTCACCTAAGTTTTGTTATGAGGAAAGAAAATAATTTAATTTTCTTTCACATGAAAATTAAGTCTATCATTTTCAAGATATAATAAATATTTGAAATTTGTATTTTCTGGTTCTATTTCAAAAGATTAAAACTGATTCCCACCTCGAGCTTTCAACTCCAACTTTAGAGAACGTATCTTGGCTGTTATTTCTTTGACCATTTCATGTACTTTTTCACACATTTGCCGAGGATTACAAACAAAGTTCATGGCATTGTACACAGAAATGCTTCCAGTGGCAGCCAACTGCAGAAAAGAAAAAAAAATTCATTTCATTTGATAAGAAATATACAGAAAAAGCTAAAGAATTGCAACCAATATTAATTGTAATATCATCATCATCAAACAGATGAATAAAAACAGATAACTGGACTTTCAGTGATTGGGTGTGTGGCTTTGAGGTCTTCTCTAAACATAGATTATACATTCTTGTGGGAGGGGGGGATGTCAGAGAGACTTTCTCAGATAGATGCTTATATATCAATCTGCTATCTAGTTTGTCTGATGTAACACATTCTAGGTGCAGCTGGGTCAACTACATGTTTACATGTTGGGAGCTGACACTAACATCTAGTGAAAGCACTACCTCCCAAATCAACCTGCTGATGCACTTGTTTTATCTAGTGGACACTAAATCCAAAGTGTATTTTACATCAACTTAAGCAAGTCATATACTACAATTTTTTAAATAACATTTACAAACATAAAATGAATATTTTTTTTTTGCTTCTTTTCGATACAACTGGATTGTCACAAAATCATTTGAGACAGACACAAATGAGTACATTTATCAAAATCAGATTCAACAAAGAAAGAAGAAAAAAGAAATAAAAGAATGCTGTAGACTTACTTTGGTATAATCAGCAGCAGTGAAATCTCTGTCTTGATTTAAAATCTCTTTTAATCTCTCTTTAACACTGTATTGAAGATAACAAAACTGATTTTAAAATTCTATTATTCAAATGTATTCAAAAATTTTATATGATACTCTTTAAATGGAAATAAAGTAATTAAGATTTATTTCAAATATCTTTAGCCAATTAATAACATTGGTAATAAGAATATTAAAGAAAATTACTAAAAGAATTTTGAATAGATTTTCATTGAATCTTTCATACTTGATTAGAAAGAAAATGATGACGACTCGTCTAGAATGATCCTTGAAATCAGAATTAGATAATAAAATTCAGAGAAACAGCAAAGAGGCAAATTATGAGAAGAGACATCATACTGATAATCATTTAACGATCAATTAGAAATCATTTAAACAATTTAATAATGCATATTAGAAAAACTGAAAGAATTCTAGTTTAAAAAAGAAATTTATTTTTTAAAAGTAATGAGTTATTGAAGTCAAGAAAATGAAAATGTCATACAAAATTATTTATCTGAAAGTGTTATATCTTTGTTGTTTTTTTTTGTTTTAAACAAACAGGAATTAAGCACAGCACATAAGCAACAGCAAACGTCCTGAGCAAAATCTTCTAAACATACAAATCATTATCCACCCCAAAAAAAGAAAAAGAAAAAAAAATCAACAAAACAGAAGCATGGAGGGAAAATTAATTTCTCATAAAAATCAATTTTAGGTTGTTTCCCTATCTTAGTCTCTTTTGTCAAACCTGTTTAGTTCATTTTAATTTATGCTATAAAATGTTCAGTTTTATATAATTCGACAATAATGCAAAAGCAAAATATATTAAGAGAAATACATTTGGAAAATTAACATCAGTCTCTAAATAAATCTAATCTATTTTTAATTATTTTTTTAATCTCACAGATGGAAGCACTCATGAACAGTTGATTTAAAAAAATAATAAAGATAAAAAAATAAAATGAAGAATAAATCACAAAGAAAACAAATTCACCCATAACAACAGAAATATTAAATATTTTTATTGAAAAAAAAAAATAAATAAATAAATAAATAAAATGTAAATGACTATAAAAAACTTAAAATAATCTAAGTATAAAGCTTATTTTATATAAAAAGTTTTTCAAATATGAGGAATTGGAAAAGGAATTAGAAAAACAGATCTTTTTTGTCATCATAAAAAAAAAAAAAATCAGTAAGAAATAGGTGCACTCTCCAAATAACTGAAATATACTTCAAAAGTATTTCTAGCCAATCATATATATATTACTTTATATACAAGGGGTTGTTGAAAGGTTCTTGATCCAACTTATTTTTCAAACTAGAACCAAATAACCAAGCATCAAATTTTGCTTTGGAAGGGCTTCTTGATTGAACTTTTCTATGTAATGCAAACTCTTCAATTAAACTATTAAGTAGTCTTCATCATTTCAATCAGAAATATAATAGATGTGAATTGAAAAGTTTGGAAACCAAAAGTATGAGGAGTGCAACCAATTGTGTTATTTTACAGAAAGAGTTTTATTCAAAATATATAATTAGGAGATGTTTTTTTTACATAACATTTTATTCAGTGCAGATTATGTGAATTTCCATCCTTGCAGTTTTATGGCTTAACTGCTCACAAATGAAATCTCTGCCATTGTAAATAACTTATGGTATTAATATATTTTAATTTTTGTTACATGGAATCTTAATAATAAAAAAAAACAAACTAATGTTATGTCATGGATACTTACAAATTTGGAAAATTCCATGTTTAGAACCAACCGCATAATGAAATGAATATAATCTCGGTTGAACATAAGTTATTAAAATAAACTTTGATAAACACAACAGTTGAGCATTTATGGATGAATTATAATCAAGATGAAATACAAGGAACTCTTTACAGACAAATGCTCACAGCAGAGAGAGGAAAAACTACATTTTACATTTTTTTAAAAAATCTCTTCCATAAGCAATATACACACATTCACTTTATTATTTTGTTTCTTAAAAAAGATTGCGCTTAATATCATAAAAACAAAGAAAAAATAAGTTTCATATTGGCCTTTGTTTTAAACAAATTACATTGTATATGGATTTTTACAATTGCCCACAATTTTTATGTTGAGGTGATGCAGTGCACATTAGTGTTATGAACAACAATCAGAACAACATCAAAAATGATCAAACTGCAAATGGTTTATAGACTAGAAAAAAAACAAATAGCTACATTCGCAATTAAAGTTATATAAAGTTAATTTTGTTTTATATTTTTAAATATCATTTTAAAAAAAAAAAAATGGCAATGAAAAGTATTTTAAGCTAAGTCAACCAACTCAACTCTTCTGAAAATGTTTATTAAAACAGGAAGTTGGAAATAGATTTGCTTTTGGACAAAATTATAGTATTAGCATGGAACAGACAATGCTTTACAAAATTAGGGGAAAAATTATCAATGATTTCATATAATAAATGTTGAATACAAGGGTTGAGTGATAAGTAAGGTCTCCTACCATGTGATGACATGAATAACAGAGAGAAAAACAGGTTTAAATATGTATTTAATAGTATGTTCTTTTCAAACATGTTTAATGTCCATTTAGTGACTGTATTGACTCATAGTATTTGTTAGTAGAATACTATGTCAGAGTTACATAAATGGCATTGATCAGTGATAGAATTATCTGTAGTAAAAAAATTGCACACCAATCACAATTCACTGACATGTGAAGTCAATGAAAACTTGTGAACATTGCAAAATAAGGCATGAAAAGAGAACATTTTTGCATCTCAACAGTGCAACATTGCAGTATGCACTCAATAAAGAGTGCAAACTGTGAGAAATGCATAATTGTTGCCCAGCCACCAATTTAGTACTATCCAATTTCTGATTGTTTCCCAAAATTAAAGGAGGTATTGAAAGTTGTGGTTGTATGCAATTGGATCAAAAGAAAATGACACACTTTCTTAACGGAGGGAATGCAAAAAGTGAACAAAATGTTTAGAAAATGGTGTAGAACTAAAAAGTGAACATATTGAAAAATAACCTTGGAAATTTAAGGAGAAATAACATTTATTTTGATACCAGCTTCATTAATAAAACTGGTTTAAAATTTGTTTTACAGAATTGGGGACTTTATCAGTCAACACTCATAATTCTGAGGATAAAGAAACTTACCACTTTCATTATTCTATATAATGTCAAACTTGTTTTATAGGATTAGCAACTTGCACTTATCAATCCAGTATTGCAATTTAAAGGAGAAATAAATTTATTTAATTTCTATATCAGTTTAATTACTGTATCTGGTAAAAAAGAAGAAACTTATAAGATTGAAGACCTTACTCACCAATCAAGTTACCTATTTACATTGAACCATTATTAAATAGAAATATGTAACATAATGCTGTATGTGATAAATAGAAAATCTAACAAGTCTACTTGGCACAAAGCTTCTTAAAATTAATCTAATTATCAATTTCACCAACTGAAGACATGAAAATATTCATGTATTAAGTACTTAGGAAATACCATGTAAAATCAACAAGCTAAATATTAAAATTCTATTATAAAAAAAGTTAATTTTGAGTTGTTTTTTTTTTTTTTTACTGATTTTATACGTTTCTTCATATGTTCAAAATTTCTATGTGGTACATTTCATGTCTAATCTTGATATCACTATTGAAAAACAAAAGCAAAATAGAATCATTTAAGAAAAGATCAAGTCATTATATCTCCTATATTTGTTGTCTTTGAAAAGTTTATATCATAGTGGAGCAGCAGAATTGTTAAAGTTAGAATCAAAATCTCATATAGATTTCCAGGTTGATAAATTTTAATCCAATTTTGGGAAAAGTAAGTTATTAGCAAAATAACTTGGGGTGGGGGGATATCAAGTGAAATATACATCAAATAATTTGATTGAATATTTCCAAAAACAGTAGAAATCCAAGACTTTAGATTTTGAATTTTATAACAAAACTATGAACTCATCCTGACTTACACCCACTTGAATTAATATGGATTTATAAAACCAGAAATGGAGACTCACATGAAAATCCCTCTTAATAATAAAAGAAAGGAATCACATTTTGAATTTTTGTAACTTTATGTTAATGATAAAAAAAATAATAGAATTTATTTAAACAATAGTGAATTTCAATTTATAAACTTGGGAGTAATGAAAATTTCTTGACCTAATCCACATTCCAAATTCTGACTCAACATCACATTTTTTTTATTTATTTTTTTTGAAGAGTTTCTTGGTCAGACTGATAATTTTTTCAACACTCCTAAGCCTAATAGAAAGAATCAAATCTATGTTTTTTTACAGAGGAATATAAGTTACATCATTTTTTTTCTTCCCAAATTCATCTCTTATGAATATGATTTAAGCCAATACTGAATAATTGATACATACAAATATCTCAGCTTCTACTTGATTTTTTAATGAAAGCAACATTATATTAACAAATGGTGTCAGTATTTTATTACAGTTGCACCAAAGAGAGAAAAACTGACACAGCCAAATGCAGAATATTTCCTCTCTTTAATTTAGATCAAATATATGAAATTTTCCTTTAGAAATCTAAATTCATTTTCTCAATGACAGATTCAGTTATACATGACTGTTCCATGCAAAACAAAAGAACCTGAGAAAGATTTTTTTTTAAGTTTTCGATGACAAAGCAGAGATAATAAAAAAAATATTAATCGATTTGTCTACTGTACAAAAATGGATGAATTGATTATAAAAAATATTCTAGGAAAAAAGAGAGAGAGAAAAAAAAGCAAGTGTTGTTGGCAACTGGATATTCTGTGTGGACAAAAGGAAAAGGATCTAGAGGTTTGTCAAAAATCTGAAGCGAGTTCTTAGGAGTGCAATTTTGGGAGTTGATACAACTATGATTGCTGCTCCTGATGGCATATTGAAGATTGGTTGAAAATAAAAGCAAGGAGTTGTGAAGGACAACAGAACTTGCATCCACAAACTATAGCAAGACCAATGACTTCTCAACCATTAGCAATCATGCAGCATAAATACATGACAACTA